CCCCAAAACCCCAAAACCCCTGACAGCAACATTTTAAGGAATAGAAAAATCATGAAATTAAGATTAAAATATGATATATTAGCAAAATCATACCTTTTTCAAAAATAAAGCTTTTACTATGATGGTAGTCTTGGCTAGTGAATTAAGTACTTCATTTATGCTTGATATGAAGTCTTCTCTCTACTTTCATCACTTAACTAGTACATTACCCTCAGAGTATTTTACCCTCTATTAAGCTATATTACCCACTAATTAAACTACCCTCCATTGTCTAGTCTTAAGTTAGAGAGCTTAAAATTGTAAGTGCCCTCAAAGAGTCCACAATTCTAGTCATGATGCTCAAAATACCAATAAAAGTCATCGCCTATTTATCCCACATAGTAGAATATTTGTAACAGCTAGCCATTATAGTTGATCTGTGTTTTTTCTCCATTTTTCCGCAGGTAAGCTATGATCTCGTTTTTGTCTGCTAGGTTCACATTACATCTAAATGTATAAGTATACCTGCATTAAAATAAGTTCTTTTTATCTATTGAATCTAGTTTCAAGTATTTAGTCTTACCTGGTCCCACATTAACCAAGACTTCTGTGTGTCTTAATACCTTACCAGAATCATCGGTAAGTTAAAGATTCTGCATCTCAAAATTAAATTTGGACTTGAACAAGACATCCTTAGTAAGATTTTCAAAGTAAAGCATGTATCCCTAAGAATGAGAGCCAAGATAGAAGTATATCTCATAAGCTTAATTTTAAAAGAATATCTAAGTCTACTTTCCTTTTTACAAAGCTAATGCTATTAATTGAGAATTATCGTAGAGTATTTCTAATGATGAGGTAGTTTATATTTGTCCATAGCCATCTAGGTGCTTAAGTACAATAATCTCACTACTTCCAGGTCTTACTGTGCACTCTGTCATGAAGCCTGAGTGCGGAGGTAGGAGTTTGTAACCTTAAAGTTAAACAAATGTAATCATCTCCCTGAATGCAACATCTGAGTCATTATGTATGTAATAAAATCCATAATCGGCTCCAGAGTCATTTAAATCCATTGTCTAAAACGAAGTTTCAATGCCTGCATAAGTATAGTACTTTCTTTGACTTTTTTAAAATGCACAAGACTTAAGAATTGCCTACAAAGTACCATCATTATAGGTAATCTTTTTTAATTTCAGTTAGATTGTAGAATAAGATGCTAATACTAAATCATGAAATGACTATTATTTCCAATCGGCTTCTACAAGTACAAAGTATTTGCCTGGCTGTAGATCTTAATCAAAATTTACTGTCACTTAGTATTCACATCCAAATGTCCCAGATACATATCAGATTGGGAATCATCTTTTAAGTTAGGGATCTAATTCTTGTTTCCCTATTATCATTCGTATCTTTGAGTATTCATATTTTTTATCTCTGAGCTTACCTATCCTTTCATAGGTTTAGTACAAAATCAAATGCGTTTTAACCTAATGCATTCCTGCCGGAATATCAAATTCAAACATGGTTATAAAGGCTGATGGTGGTGAAAATTTGATAGAATATCTCTAGAATGATTCATTATATTTACAAATCGATGTCCCTCTGAATTGTGTAAAGTAATCAAAGAATGACATAAAGAACTCACCCTCTTTCAAAAATTGAAAGCCAAGCTATTTCTAAAGTTAAGGAGTCCATTTCTTGTCAAATTTAGACCAACTACCATTCCATTCTTATTTGCCCCAAGGATTTCTTAGATTGACTAATCTTAAATCTTCACCATAGTGCTTTATTTGATTGAGTGTGATTAGACTGTAGACATGATCATTCACAAGTCCATTTTACTCAAAGAAATGCTATTCTAAATGCTGTTTAGCATTTGATGCTGTGATTATATGTAATGATTTATCAGACTCTTTGACTAAATCCCACAATTTCTCTTAATCATCATGTTAAATGTATGAACAGGGAGCCCCTGTTAAAAAGCTAAAGGATACAACTGAATGTCCTGAGCTACTATTTTCATAACCCCCATGTATCTTAGCCCAGGCTTTCTCAAGAATGACCGGCCATAGCTTATTATTTCTGGACTTAGTAAATGCAGGCTGATTAGAATGAGGATCAAATGGAATGAAATCATCTACGACCACATTCTAGAACTCCCCATTCACACATAATCTGATGATAAACATGCCTACCTTAGCATAATCTAGATTCACAAATAAACTTAGCACTCTTTAAGGGTATTACGCAAGTGAACTCAAAGCTGATAGGAAATAGCAGTTGCCAATAGTACCTTAAATAACATCTCCAGGCTCAATCAATTCATTTCTGATATCATGAGAGTATGATAAGTCGCTAGTTCTCTTCCATATCAATGTTTTATAGTATCTTATTCTGTTTTGATCCACTGCATTTCCTAAATTGAAGATTGACTATTGATTTGGTTAGAAATCCTTATCAAAGTACATTTCATCCTAAGGCTTCTAATAGAATTGCTAGCTTTGATTGCTGTTCTGACTATGAAAACTTCCATAAAAGGAAGATCTATATTCCATTTTATAAATTTTAAAATCTAATTATGAATTTCAGTAATTTACAAATATTATAAAAAGCATTCATATCATACGGGGTTTTGGGGTTTTGGGGAGATCGGAAGAGCACACGTCTGAA